AAGACTTAAAAGCTCTTTAACAAACATGCCATGCTTTCTTAATTTCTAAAGTACATCTAATTATATAGATGGCACAATCATAAATAATATATCGCTTCTGTAAATACTGGTGTGTACGCCATTTGACAGCTTCTTGGGTGGCCCAAAAAGGTAGAACAAACAAAAAGAGCCAAGGCCATTTTTCACATGTAAAAACTGGGAAAAATACACATGGAAAGAAAAGAAAGAAAAAAGAAAAAAAAAAGGTCATAGCAGTCAACTTTGTACTTTTAACTGTTCAGTTAAAGAGTCATTTCAAGACACCCAGAGGTAAGGTTTAGGAGGTTCAAAATGAAATGAAAATTGTATTCTATTCATCGCAGGAAACGTAAGGAAAGAAATAAGCAAAGGTCATGAAAAGGAATTGAAGGCAAAAAGGGAAATAATAAATTAATGAAGGAAGAGTGCTACAGAATGGAATTTAAACCAAGCAAACCGAAGTCCCAACATCAAGTAAACACACATTGCTTATAAATAACCAAAAAGTCCTGGGAAAATTACTTTTAGACACATTTCTGTTATAAAAGCCAAACTCTTAGAATGCCATCTCTCAGCCCGCTTTTGAAGTAATTTGTGTTCTTCAGGCGGGAAGATGGTGGTATCCAGAGTAACTACAAGGAAAAGTTTCTCCTCAGAACAAATTGGTAATTCTCACTGTTTGTCTTACATTGTATGTGTCATATGTTTTGTGTGTTTTAGTAATTATTTCCCCATTTTAAAAACAAGTTTACAACACTGGTGCCTAATCTGGGAAATAGCTTTTAAAAACAATTATTTTATCCAAATTCTGCTGTTTGGCATACTGCTAAGAACATAACACATTGAATTTTCAAAACAATAAATTAATGGAGTCCAGTCAAGACTGAAACCAGAAGACAACGCCTACAATTGCCTGGCAGAAGTGCTTTACAGAAGCAATGATTTAACCAGAAAGGAGGTGTCTATGGGCTTCTAATACAGCATATTTTCTGTCAAAACCTTGACAGTTGGTGTCATGTTTAGGATCTGTATAAAAGCAATTTTACTTACGAGTTAGAGGAATCCTGTCTCCTACAGGAAACAGAAACATCAAGAAAAAATGCCAGTATGGTGTGTGCCTTCGGCACTACTGGCATGCTAGATTACCCTCTCAAGAAACTTATATTAGGTATAGAGGCCACTAGGATCTATCAAGAGCTATTGAAAAAAAGAGTAACCACTCAGGGTTCAAGAAGGCCTCCACTGAAGATTTCTGAGTGTGAGAATATTCACAGGAAGCATTCCCCCGTGCTCACCCTCTTCTCCTTTTCTTCCCCAGGGATCCACTCTGCCAAGGTGGGAAAGGGGCTACTACATGAACCAAAATTTTGGTCTAAGTTAGTATGCCGTTTTCACGTTCATCAGTGATCTCTGAAAAATCAATCTAAATGTTTCAAAGTCGTGACACCAAATTTCAAAAATCTGAACTTTGAATCCTCAAAAAAAAAAAAAAAAAGGTGTTGAAAGAAACACAGTGAAACCAGAGAAAATAATCTTTATCCATCAGTTCCACACAAATCTATGATACACAGATTTTGAAATTAATAAAAAGGCCATATTGTGTTAGTCTAATATAAATGGTGAATCTCTTCTTCCGCCTTACTGTATTTTTGTTTTAAGTCTAAAAACAGTTACTTCACTTGAAAAGAAAAACTGTGTCATTGTGAAGACAAGCAAGACTTTAGACATTTAGATCAGAACACTTAAGTTGATTTACTGCTTGCTAAGCATTATTCACTGTTGTTCATTAGCCATTAGGTACTATATTTAAGTAAATTGTTTGGATATAGTCACCTGCTTCTTCAGCTTTTATTATAGAAATCAAACTAAACAAGTCAAAAATTATTTATTAAACCCAAGCAAAACCAGGATAATACACAGTTGATATTGAGATTACTAAATATAAATTAAAAAGAAGCCATTTGTTAATTTGAGAAGCAAGCCCAACCACTGGCTTTACTAGCATTACAAAGCAACTTCTTGTCAAAACCTGGCAATAACTAGCTTGGGCTCGGAATTTATGTCTGCTCTCATTATTTATCTTTAAAGTCTTTATTTCTTGTGTTTGGACATCCATTATTTTTAATTCATTTATAATTCTTAAGCAACATAATGGTACCCAAAACCCTTGAGGGGCTAACTTCCAACTGACATTCACAGAGGTAGTAAAAAAAGCAAATCAGGAATACACCCAAGATATTTGCTTCAGGGAACACTTATTCAACCAAATTTTTGAAGGCATTACATAAATGCAACAAACTATGAAATTTGTAAGAAAACATGTACTTTTTTGGATACTACTAGGAAAATGTTGTAGACCTAAAGGAGTTTGAAGTATTACCATGGGTAGAACTCTAATTACCTCTTTATTATTATTATTTTAAAGCTATTTCTTGCTATTTTTATCTACAAATACCACATAAACATTTATAAAAAAATCAGTGCAAAAGATCAAGTCACACATGCTTACTAAACAACTAGAAAGTTAGGATTAATTCCAAAGAGGGAAAACTCCAAAGAATAAGTTTTTGTACGTACTTACATATTTAAAATGCTGCAATAGATTCCTTAGAGAATGAAAAGCATTAACAGAAAACATAGGATGAAAGAACCTCTCTTTCACACTGCATTCATTTGTCAAGTAGACACTTTAGGTAAGAGTAGCATACTGTTTTCTTCTGAGCAGTGAGTGCTGGTTTGAAGACAGACTCCATTCCTGCACCACATAGTCTCTGTAGCTGGTTTGTAACTATGCAGCAAAATCTTTGGAATCTACGTGGTTAAAAAGGAACACATGGCCATTTTGGTAGTGGGCTGCTTAAGTATCATGATACTTAAATATCAGATGTTATGCCTAAGTAGCATAACTTACTTTAATATCCATATGTGTGCGAAGCAGGACTACCTGTGCATTGGTTTACTTACATCAGTAAAAACCTAGCAAATGACAGTGGCGCGAGAACGTTCATTGCTCTTACAAGATTTATTCACAAACTAAAATGAAATAAAAGCATCACCATATAGACAATCCTAACTAAAAGGTTGTGGTAAACTGCATAACACATTCTGATTAAGTGTATGCTCTTACACTGTTAGATTTCCACAAGTATGTAAGCCATCCAATTTTCTTGACACCTATTTTTCACAGAAAATTCGTTGCAGGTATTTGTAGATTTCACTTTTTGCATTCACTATATCTGCATACTTACATGAAAAACCAGATGCACCTAATCAAGAAACAAAACTACTATACAGTGTACTCTGAAAAAGTCACTGTTTTTTGTAATTCTCATTATAAACACTGAGGGGAAAAAACCCACAGCAAATTCATTCCAATTAATAGATGCAATTATTTTAAAACAAATAAACTCCAAATTAAAAAATGTGCAAGAGCAAATTACAATGATCATATCTATTATATAGGCAGAAAAGATATCTCACTTATATGAATCATTTGCTCAGATTCTTTTCTGATAGACATTCATAATAACTCACATCTGTTGTTTCACCACAGACATAATCAGAAGACTGTGATATTTCACAGAATAGGTTTTCCAAATGTAGTATGAAAACGGTACAGAATAACCTATAGAAAAATCCTTCGTACCAGTGTATTAAAAAACCAAAACATTATTTTAAAATAAGTTTCAGGATGTGTGTGGAGGGGTTGCTCTTATTTATGCTCTCTTGGTAAAGACAACAGCCTTTTAACTTTATTTACTGCATTGGTCAACAACTGTATTTCCACATTATCAGGTTTGCTGAGTAATATCATAACACTGTAATGTTCAGGTTACACATTTGTTAAAATATTTTTCTGAAAAATATGTCAACTGCAATTCATAAACATTCCTACTTGCTCAATAGCTTTTGCAACACTTACAAAATTCTAACACATCAGAAAAATTTATTTACTGGAAGAACCATCTAGAGATACCAATCAATTCCATAGGGCCAAAAGGCTAATAAACTTTTCACTGTGATGCAAGTGTACTCCCTAAATGAATGTCATCTAAACATAAAACTCCAATTCTTCCAATGACTGCTTTATATCTAAAAATATCACTACTGAATGCTGCAATTACATTTCTCAGCTGGAGACATCTTTCTACATTATTTTCTTGAATGCTTAAGATCCAGGCTCAACAGTGTGCTAATCAACTGCACTAAACTCCAAATGTGATCTAATTAACTGGAAACCACTCAGATTTGATTGGTAGGGGATTTTTGGTTTGCTTTTAAATCCAAGCATATCTTAATCACCTTGTCTGCCCTCCATAGGAAATACTCATGAAAAAGGACAAGATGTTCAGAAAGAAACAAACCCCAACCCTATCATTATAAAATATGTTTAGGTCCTGACCACATGTACTTACTCTGAAAATACCATGTTTGCCCATAATTTCTTATGGATTCTGACTTTAAAATTTCTAATCATAAAACTGCTCAAAGGTGAGAATCACCTACAGTGTGTATTTTGGTCACAGTCCAAGCCCTAACAGTTTGAACTATGTGTTATAATCAGTTTCTAATGAACTGGGGAAGCAGCTCCTTGCCTACAATTTAATATGTTGAAGGAAACAATTCTGAGACTTCCATAAAGGTTGATTCTCTGCATCGGAAAGGTCATTGCACATTGTATGCAGCCCTATTTGAGTTGGGTGTGTTCTCTGCCTTACAGAGAAGGTTAGGACGTGTATGCATCAGAAGATATTTTTCTTTCTTAGATTAGCAACATCTGTTAGGCCAAATCTCATTTCCTGCCTCCACTAAAATTCTTAATATTTAAGAGAGGTTGCAGAAAAGAAGGATGAACACAGCAAGTCACCTCATGAGTAATCTTGTCACTAACTCTGATTCTTTTCTCTCTCCTAAGTAAAGTATTCATAACAATACCAAATACTACCAAATTGAACATATGCCATATCTTTTTTTTTACTCACCTACGCAGTTATCACAAAGGCTGCAATGTGAGGCACGAGGTGGGCGGAAAATCTTGCAAGTAAAACAATATTTTAGTTTCACTGTCTGTCCATTGATGATCACTTCTTTTGTTCTGGGAGGGGGGCGATATCCTCCTGAACTGGAGCCATTTGCTATATCTAAACATGGAAATACAACACATTAAATTTTTCACAAGCTATGATGTATGCTGATGTATGACTGTCCTTGATGGCAATCTATAGTAAGCCTCAAATTTATATTAACACACTTAAAATAAATTTTTGCCCTCCTAACTCTCCTAAAATAACATGTAGCAAAGAGATATTTCATTAAAAATAGCATACATAGCCAATCAATTTGAATTAAAGAAACCATCCAAGCCCAATTCCCAAATGCTGACAATGACCTTGATCCCCAAACTGTTACAACTCTCACATCCCCTAATAGTTCATAGATAATACATTAACAACAACTATGAATACTGGTGTAGGATAGTAAAACTTGGACAAGTTTTCCTTAGGATCTTCCTCAATATTTTTAGAATTCCAGTAATAACAAAAAGTCTCCCTAGAAGTGCTGCAGAAATTCTACAACCAAATATAGAACCTGTACATTTACTTAAGCAACAACAGCTCTGTCATCAGAGCCTAGCATATGTTGAGATCCCTTGAATGTTATGATACAATGGGGCACATTCACAATAGTATTTTTCAGCTCTTGTTCTTTAGAAGTTTGAAAATGCAACTCCCAGTGTTACTTCTACACACTCTGAAGTTTGTTTGTTGCATAAAACCAGTTTCCAACTACATCATTTGATACAAGTGGTGGAATTTTGGCTTTGGTTTCTTAACTTCATTTTGTTTTATTTTAGGACATTAGCAGTAAGTTTTCCAGCAACTAAAGTACCGATCAGGCTAAGTCACTAAAATTCAATTTTGCCCAAGCTGAACTTTACTCGAAGTTGAACATCTAAAAGTGGCACCTTTTTCTAGGTTTAACTGTTCTTGTGTAATCACAATCAAATCAAACTATAGAAGTGAAAACCCCCTAAATTATTACTCTTGGACAGGTAGAACAGCTAAGATAATAGGAAAGTAAAATAAAGTACTTCCCAATATATGATGAAAATACATTTCAAAGTCACAGTCACTTGCACAACTGTGTCTTAAGTTGTCCCACTCTCTTTCATGTGGGGCTTGTTACTAAAAGATCTATGAGCTGTATTTGAGCTCAAATCGTTAGAAATATCATCCACAATTACAGTTTCTGTGAATTACACAGTCTACAAACTATGTATTTTCCAAGAGGGCAATAAGAAAGCCTCCTCACCTAGCAAGATATTTAAACTAGCAACAGCACAGCTAACAAAGGTGTAATTATACAAAGTGCCTGATTTGGTAGCAAACCTCACTTAAGAAGTTCTCGTCTGCAATGTGCTCACCCACTTCACAAATATGCATCAATAAAAGCCCTTGTGGGACACCACTGTAAACCTGACCAATGAAACAGATTTCAGAAAGCTCCGTTAGAGAAGAGGATGAAAGGAATGAAGGGAGCAATAGCTGAGAGTAATGGAATCTGGGTGTGAAGCTCCTAAACATCTGTTATGAGAATGAAGTGGTGAATACTGAAGAAACAGTAGCTTAGAAGCAGCCTCCTAGAGCTCAGTGAGGTATAGACATTGGCTTGGGTTGGATCTAAACCACACCCTTGTGATGCCTGGCCAGGTCTTATGATCTACATACGGAACCATGGACTACTGTGTGGTTCCCATAACTATCAATGACACTGATTTTGACCTCAAGGCCAATACTACTTGACACAGTATTTTTGATTCAATAAGTATTGCATTACAAGCTGTATACCAGTGTATATCAGTGTGTAAGCTGAAAAGATGTTCTTTGGAAGGCACAGCACAACTGTGCTTATACTATTTAAAGCTTTACAGAGACAAGGATGACTCCTAAATCCAGAATACTGGGAAGAATGTCTTATAATTCACATTACACTAAAAAAAACTTCCAGTAACATTATAACCAGCAGGCTAGTAATATTCTTAGTCTTTCTAGAAATCCTTGGTCCACAAAACACACTGTTATGCCCATTTCTTACCATAGTTTGGTCAAAGTAAGACTTAAACTGTGAGCAAAAACATAGGTCATTTGCCCTAGTTAGTTTTTTATTGAATAAAGAATTTAACACATGCATGCATAGCATATTCATTAATAAACTGAAGGTTTTCATTTGATACTCATACCCAAATTTAGGTGCATAATTATAAAAAAAATACTTATAAAGCCTGAATTTCATCTAGGTGTAGCTTTCTATACTGCTAGAAATTTTGATGCATTAGATTTCCTAAAATAACAGTAATATTTCAGATTTTCTTATTTTAAAAAATCTTATTGTTCCTGAGTATGTACATAATCATTGAAAGAAAAGTACTGAAACCAGTCAAGGGGAATTGTTTAGAAGAAAAATGTTCTTTTTCCTAAAGAAACATTTATGTTATAAAATGAATATTGACTAAATCCAGTATTTCCCCTCCCTTTCATGAACTTCAAAAAGTGCACTGCATTTGTTTTAAATGGGCTCTGGCAGAATCTCAAAGGCAACTTCTGTCTTCTCTGGTGGAGAAGGGAGACTACTGTCCAGCCCATTATATTTACAATGCTAGTTTTCTAAGACGATTTCCTCCCAGACATTTGCAGGGAAGTTCACAGAGACAGCAAATCCTAGCTCTCTTAGGAAAATTAATCTCAAAATCCAAGGGTGAAAGCTGATGCAAATGAAATTAATGAAAACAGTCTTGCTGACTTTCCATGGACTCAGAAGTTTACTCACAATCCTAAATTGCATAATCAAACCTGAAAGTCCCAGTCTTTCTGTTTACTAGCATCTTTTTCCTGGAAACAAGCAACTGAGCAAGGTCAAATGTGTTTGGATTTAATCTGATTTATCTAATCTAAATGTGATAAACATGTCCTGGTCCCACTGTGAATTTTCAGACTGTAATTAGCCTTCAATTTGACTGCTCGTACTTGGGGTCTAACACAGTTAAATCTTTCAATATATGTGGTCCCTTTGAGGCACAATAAAATTAACCTTTATGGAATCACCTTCCCCCAACGACCTGTGTTTGACCACTACTACATTTTTCTCATCCAATCCATTATTGATGTAGTAATACAAGTTATTTTACAAAAAGGCTAAAATTTGCCCACTAATGAAATTGCCTTCTATCCTCTCTGTTAACTGTTCATGCACTAGATGGGGCTCCAGCATTTTTATTACCCTACTACAAAAGTCCCAAACATATAATCCATGTCTTTGCAGGACCAAGAGACCCGAACTGCTCCAAGAAAATAAGTATTTAATTGAGTTACAGCACAGCCTAGCAACCTTCTAATGTGACAACAAACTCCACTTAGACTTCTCAATTTATTATGCTGAAAAGAAATGAGAGGTGCTGTTTAGATGAAACACAGACACTGCAAGTTTTTATACATATCACTGGGATTCTCCTGCTCAATCAAGGGTTGGATTTTTTGGTCAACATTCTTAAGATCCTAAGACAAACAGCCCCTAGGTGGTCACCCCACATTGTCTCTATACAAGCTTCACAAGCATATTATACAAGGTTTGCTGACAACTTTAACAGGACACAATTTCAATCTTCAAACAAGATTACTAAAAAAAGTCAGCAAGTTGAAATAATTGTAATGTTTCCTGACAAGAAAATGACAATGTAAGAAAAAAATCTTTATGTATAACCTTTAACATCTGAAGAACAACATAAAAAACATCAAACAAAACAAAGCCCTACAAAAATGCAGACCTCTAAGAAATATCTTCCACTGTGTTGAACCACTTAAATCTAAGCTACATGCTTAACAACAGTGGGTTACAAGAGGATCGACTAATTTATTTCAGGGTGGGGTGGTGGGAGAGAACTTTAATCAAATGTTCTTGTTTCCAGACAGTAATCTCAGGGACAAACAATACTGGGAACCTGGCTTAGACTGAAACCACCAGTTGCTAACTGCATTCTAAAGATAGATCTTCATCTGACAGCCAGCAAGAGGTATCGACTGTATATTGGTCTTGACTTCAAGACTTAAGACTTGCTGCCTTAAGTTTTTCTGAAATCATGTATTATTTTCTTAAAAGTAGAATTGCATGATCTTCTTGAAGTCTAAAACTTTATTGGAAAGGTATGCTCGTGTAATGGCTGATTAAAAGATGGAGTCTCCTTCACCATTGCCTTGAGCATGGAGCTAAAAAACCTTGATGACACAGCTAGGCTGCTGCAGGAGCTGAGCTGCTTGCAAAAGCTCCAGGAGGTACCTAAGCAAGCCGCTGGAGGCAGGTGGACCAGCAAAAAAGATAAGTTGTTACAGTCAAGAACACGGTAAGGACTTACTCTCCCAAAGAAGGTACGCCAGGCAGATCTTGCTTGGATACTGGAGAACCAGTCAATGGACACTCAGGGCCCATCTTGGTACCAGGTGAACTTTGCTTGGATACTGGTGAACTGGTCAATGGGCACCCAGGGGCTACCACGGCGAGGGTATTAAGGCCGTGCTGGGGGCCTGCTGGAGGAGTGCTATGGGAGGTTACCCGGCCTGCTGGTTCACTCCTCGGAGGCTACAATGTGACCAGGGCTTTTGAAAATGCAAAAGCAAGCAAGAAGAAACTGTGATCTGGCCTGAGCTGGCTGCACAGAATAAATGAGGAAGATACACACAGATTAAGACAGTTAGCCTGAAGAAAAATCCAGAGAGTTTAAGGCTGGAAGGAAAAATTACTATGATCATCTTTTCATTTATCTGCATCACCAGGACCAGGGAAGTGATTCTTCCCCTGTACTCAGCACTGGTGAGGCCACACCTGGAGTACTGTGTCCAGTTCTGGGCCCCTCAGTTCAGGAAGGATATTGAGGTGCTGGAGCAGGTCCAGAGAAGAGCAACAAGGCTGGTGAAGGGACTTGAAAACAAGTCCTATGAGGAGAGGCTGAGGGAACTGGGGTTGTTTGGCCTGGAGAAGAGGAGGCTCAGAGGAGACCTCATCACTCTCCACAACTACCTGAAAGGAGGTTGTAGCCAGGTGGGGGTTGGTCTCTTCTCCCAGGCAACCAGCAGTAGGACAAGAGGGCATGGTCTTAAGCTCTGCCGAGGAGATTTAAGTTGGATATTAGGAAGAAATATTTTACAGAGAGTAATCAGACATTGAAATGGGCTGCCCAGGGATTCACTGTCCCTGGAGGTTTTTAAGATGAGACTGGATGTGGCACTTAGTGCCATGGTCTAATAACCACAGAGGTGTTGGATCAAGGGTTGGACGTGATGATCTCAGGTCTTTTCCAACCCAGTTGATTCTGTGATTCTATTCTATCACCTATTCAATGCAAACAAGATCAATTTTGAGGAAGAATTGTTAAACTTGGGTATGTCAACTGGACAGACACTTTCCCACCTGAGAAACCCATTCTCCTGGATTTGGTTATCCTTTTAGGCCTTCATATTTAGGACTTTTCCACTTCAGGTGATTTCACACTAATGTAACTACAAGAGATACATATCATAATTGCAAAGAGGTTACAAAATATGGCTGCTCCTACTATTTATGTGTCCATAGAAGAAACAGCCCCCCTCAGTATATTTTGTGTTATTTCAGAAGCATCATGAAAATAATGCAATTACCACTGGGGTTCCCCTGGAAAAAATGACTTTCCAATTTCAATGAACGTTATAAGCAAAATAAAAATACTACATCAATAAGTTTAATGTTCCATTTAGAGAAGAAAAAAAAAAAAGACCATGCCGCATTTCAGTGAAATTATAGCACTTTTATATCAAATAACCCTACATTACCTTGAGTGATTTTGCATTATATAAGCCTCATGTATCTAGTTGTTTTTGCTGTTATATGAAAAAAAAAAAAAAGCAACTAAACTAGAGTATTTTAAGATTTTTGCTCCTCTTCTCTCTTAGGCCAAACACATGTATGTATTAAATATTCTTACAGGTCCCGTTTTCTAGACTTCTGTTTTGCTGCCTTCTTCTCGAGTTTCCACCCAGGGTGTCAAAAGCCAGACAGTGAAATGACCCCTCATCACCACTAGGTATCACAGAACGTCACTTCTGGTTCATGTAATGACTCTTCTTCTAACACATCCCAAAAAGGATTTCCCCTTTTTGTCATATCACAGTGCTTGTGGATATCAATCTGCTTGTGGATAATCCTCAAGTGTCCATTCACCAATTAGACTCTTTTTTGTTAATATTTGATTTCCATTTGTAGTCATGCATTTTGTGTTTATTCCCTAAATTTGCTAAGACTATTTAAAATATATTTAAAAAAATCAAACCCAGTAGCTGCAAATGTCCCCATGTCAGCATCAACTTCAGAGTTAAGCATATTCTTCTTGAGCCCACAGTCAGTCTCTGAAATATCCTACTTGATCACTTACCATTTGCTACTACAGTGTCTTTTCAAAAAGTTGATCACTGACTTTGTGGCAATTTAATCTAGACCTTATTTCCAAAATTTATACAGAAAGAATACTATGCAGCACAGCATTAAGAGCTCAAAGTGAAAAATTAAGGACATCTGCTTCTTCTTTTCCACTAAAAGTTCTTTTCCACTAAGAAAACGGTACTTCTTTCAATGAAGGACATCAGTTTGGCTACACTTGATTTGCTTTGAAATACTTTGTTGTTCTTTTTGAGACTTAAATGGCCATAAACCCCTACTCCTTGCCAGACTCAATTCTTATAATTTGATCATTTAGCAGTTTACTCCATGTCTCTCTAACCAGAGAATAGTTTCTAGAGAGAAAACTGGCAGATTTCTACTAAAGTAGAACATTAGATAAATCAGTAAAGATACAGTATAGTAGATTGACAGACTTTTAACTACTTTCCCTCTCCTGACCTATCAGCAGTCAAGAAGCTACAAGTTATCTTCTGAGATCAAAGCAGTCTTGATCCTTCAGCTTGTCCTCTGCTATTTCTCATTTTCCAACAACACAGCACACCTTCAGCTTCTCTTTCTTCCTCTAACCTCTAACAGAACCTGTACTGTTTCCTTCTACTGTTCCTTGATGGCTGTAACTGACTTCACTCTACTTTTGCCTTTCCCACACTTTCCCAATATGCTTGTGCCATATCTTTTTACTCACCTTTAGAAACTATTTCCACTTATGATACAAGTATCTTTTTGACTGCAATCAAATACCGTTAGAATGGCCTCTTAGTATACTTTCCAACCTTCCTCTGGATGAGGATAGCTTGATGATGTGCATTTAATGTAATATTTTTCAATAATAGAAGTCCCTTTTGCTTTCTGGACAATTTTTTCCATTTCTTTCACTTTCTGTTTTTCTATGAACACTGCAAAATTGCAAGAACAACTGCTTTGCATTCTTGTACCCTGGGGGTGGAAACAGCAGCATCACAGCTCTGTTAGTCCCCCATCTTCACCCAAACAAGGGTGACAGCCTAGGTGGAAACATTTCTCATTGTCAGTATGATGACCCTGTTTCCAAAAAGTCACCTGAAAGAATGAAGTACCGGCAGCTTCTTTAGAGAGCCTTATTTTGAGAACCGTTCTCCTTAATCAGCTCATTCTATTCTATGCCTTAGTATAAAAAGTTTTAAAAAAACTTCTAAATAACATTCTTAAATCAGAATTCCTCTTCTCAGGACATTGTTTCTCACTGCATTTGTAATAATTTTTGGGAGGTTGCTTCACAAAGAGACAGGTAGGGCAGTGTAAGACTCAAGTATCTAAGAATGACTTGAGTGAAGTAAAAGCCACAGATAGCATATGCAACATACACAGATTTTAGGAAAAAAACCAATTTGGTAGAGGCACTATTTTTTAGGTGAGTTATCTGAAGAATTTCTTGCCTAGAAATATATTACTGTTAACCTCACACCACACCTTTAGAAGGTACTGAAAGTTCAAAAGTACAGCAAGTTACAAGGCAATCTAAACAGAATGATAGCTTTGGAGTATCTAGTTTTCTTTTCAACCGTGGGAGCCATTCCGCTTTTCCTGCTGCACATATACCACTCCACTAGGATACACCTTTTAAGGGCACATTAAAAAAAAAAATATTTTAAGAGTACAGAAATCCTTCTTTCCATTTCTATTGTTGAATCCAGAGTCACAGTTTTAGGGCAGAAGGATTTCTTATAGCTACCTAGCTTGTTCCTCTATTAGACTTGCCATAAGCCCTCATGCTTGGGAATTCCACATTTGCTGGCAATGTAATTCCTTGATACTCCACTGGCCTTTTTTGGAAGACTACTGCCTTTGCTACTGCTGAAGAAAAGACAGTGGCTTTGATCAGCTCAGCAGCCTGAATCTGTGAAGCAAGTATGCAATATCATTTAAATAAATTATAATTTGTAAACAGAAGTTCTGAAATAGTCACACATGGAAACATTTTGACTCTCCTAATCAACTTTTTGATACAGAATGATTTCTAGTTTCCAATTTGTATTGTTATTGTTAACTGTTTATTTGAAATAATTTTTTTCCTGACATAGATCAATGTTTCTTTGTACTTAAGGTAAATAAGCAACTCCTTAAATAGGAACTTATGCCTGTATTTTGGACTAAAGCCAGTACCTTATTCTAGGTAAAGAATTCCTTGAAAGAGATCAATGAAAGTAGACTATAACACTGATTAGGAAAAGGTGCTAAATAAATGCTTCATTATATTTATATGTGTTAAAAAAAATCTTGGTGAAATTTTGTGGCCTAAACTGTATACTTTTTTTTCTGAGATTTTCAAATGCTTAAGCAAGGTGATTCAACCACTTCTGAAATTCAGATGGATAGCAAACATTTAAATACTTCTATTGTAAAAAGCCCAAGACTGTATTATAGCATTAAATGTCAAGGATGCCTCAGGTATTTCTCCTGTGCTTGCATAAACCTGTTACCTGTCATTTCAATTATATGAGTGTGCATTCCTCTGAAACTGCTTCAGAAAAATCGGATTTCCGTTGGCTGTCATATCAAAGCAGATACAGTAGCCCTTGGTAAGCTTTACTAGATTACTAAAAAATAAGCACACAAATCCACTGCTTATGAAGCAACTCTGCAAACTCATCCTGGTTTCTTATCCAGGTAGCACATTTTAGCTATTCAGCATGTTTGTAGCTGTAGAAATCTCACTTTTAGAATTTCGTTAACAATTCTCTTGATAAGTGAGGCTGATTAAAATCTAGGTCTCTACTTTAATTATGCTGGTTTTACACAAATAAAAAACAGTAACATTTTTACTGTATATTAATACAGTTTCACAGTATAAATAATAACAATTAAATTCAGTTACTGAGGATACACTACTTTAAAAGATGCACAATTGCAGAACCTTTGAAATATCAGGTTTTTTGCCAAAAACAATTTAAAAAGTATTCTCTTGTGCACCACAGAGAGACTTTTACCAGATTTGCTGAAAAGTATTTACAGTAATAACTATCACAGTCCAAGGCCAGGATCATGTTTACTTTTTTGGTGAAGAACTGATCTTTTCACACGAATCACTGCAATGTTATTAGATATTACAATTCCGGAACAATCACTGTGGCAAGATAGGAGTAACTCCTCTCATGATCAGAGCAGCACACTGCCTTCACACAGTACATGCACCCTCGGGAGGAAAGCGAAGAGACAACAGACCTTCAGTGTTACCTATTTGTCTCTCTAGATCTGCTGCTTCATCTGGTGTTGCGCGGGGGAGGACACCAGGATCACTGAAACTAGTACGCAGCAGGGTCCCCATCACGAAAAAGAAAAGAATCCCACCAATTGCAGGGATAGCAGGCGTAATCTTCTCTGACAGATATGGACAACTGGAAAGAGAAAAAGATTAAACAATCAACAACACACAGGGCAACTTGCTCTCAAAAACTATTTACCTCTATAAATGCATATGAAGAACTCACTCCTATGGACAAATTACTTGTCTTGGAATGTTTACTGTAGCTGAAATTTCTGTTTATGTGTTTATGACACTTCTAAAATTTCTCAATGATTTGTTCAATAAAGGTCGAAATAGCATAATAATGGTCTCGCTATTATGCAATACTCATTTACATAAGAAAATATTTTTAGTACAGGATAATAAGCTTATATATTTCTTCATCTAATACCCAGTTACATAAAAGTAAATTGGGCAGAGTGAAGGAAGGGGAAATAACCTGCATATAACATGATGACATAAGCCACACTGGAAAATGCAATTAAGTCTATACAATGAACTTAATATCCACCAGCAAGATGGTGCTCAAGAACTTGTGACATATTCCTTTAATAGCCTTGGTATATATCAATATTATAACACCACTACTGATTCTGTTTCTTAATCTCTTTCTTGTAACTTGCTAAACTTTTTTACTCATTTACAAAGTAAGAAGAGTGCAAATGACAGTGCAACACACCTGGGACCAAATAATTGGAGTGGGGAGCGCATACCTATGGCAACATCAACAGCCCTTCAGCAATGGCCCTGTGCTTACCAGATTTACAATATACGCACAGGAGTCTAGACTGGATTACAGTTTTAGCAAATTTTCCTCTGAGCTTTACATGTGATTAAATCAAAATGGATGGAAACATGGAATCTAAACACTAGACAAGCATAAGTATCTCTCTACAGTTGGGCAAAAAGAAGGGATATGAGTACTTAGACATTAAAAGTCTTCCTAATCTCAGTCACACAGTAAGCACTGCAGGACCATCTTAGAAAACACCCAGGCTGAAGATTCTCTTCTTAGCTCTCATATTAAGTAGGGTGGGCAGAATACCAAGATGGCTTCATGTATTTCTTATGTCTGCATGAGAAGTCATAAAATAAGCCTAAACCCCACAGAAGCTAAAAATCAACAAGTTCTAGGCCTTAGGGCTTCATCTAAAGCTTCCAGGTATCAATCAAGTTTAATTAATGTCGTTTTCCCTGCTTCTGCTGACTGCCTCAAATGATGATTCAGATGTGCAAGCTTTTGCGCTGCAAGTCAGTCAGCCTCAGTGCAATGTTAACTCTGAGCAAGTGATGACAATGTCAGCTTCACTGTCCATCACTTCTGCTGGAGGGATGGGGAGAGAATGGAAACACTTTTCATACCAGTTACCCTGTACAAAATGTTTATCTGTCTGCATAATCGTTTTAAATGTATTTGGATGGTTCAAACATAGTGGGTTTCATGGATGCAGTGAGTCCACAAACATTGCACTGTGCATAACACCAGTACGAGTGGAAATCATCTTTCTCCCTACATGAATGCAATATTAAAAGTGTAACAAGTTACAAAATATTAAAAGACAACTGAGTATAAAATAAAGGTGAGGGACAAGAGATCCTACAGTTTCCTATAACAAATGGACTATTTAAAACTGGGAGATGTACTTCAAATGTACACTTTGAAGAAAATCTCACAGACCCAGATTTTTAAAAATCAGTGCTAACTAAAGGAAGCAGCAGCAAGACATAAGCCTTGGTAGCTATAAGCCTTCCTCCTTTCACTTTAGAGAAGTCAGTCTGAACGAACAACCAAAGAGAAGCTTTCATAGTGTATAAATGTCCTAGCGCTCAATTTATTTCTTGCCGCAAAGTACTACTGAAATCAAAACTACTGTAATATGCTCAGACAAGAGTACAAATAGGCTGCAAGAACATATTTTTAAAAGGATTAGAGGGAACATGTACATTAATGAACACTAAATATAGCACAGTGCTATTATTCTTCCATTGCATTATTCATTACACATACCAAGGAAATTGCAACTGTGATGAAGTCTGTTGACCAAATAAGAGCTGTATGTGCGTGAAAGGTAACATGAGATAATCTCAGGGTAGCACAATAGGTGCAATACAATTTTGACAAGTGTTAACACAAAAACAGCAATGGCATCTACATACACAAATTCTCATTGATACTCAAAGAACGGAAACTGAAGGGCCATCATGACACTGACATGTTTTCTTTTAACAGTAATTTCATAGGAAATTGGTAGAAAGAACAAATTCCTGTGCTGAAATACTGAGAAAGCCTTGCATTGCTGAAAATGATGTCTTTGATGTAGTAAAAAAACATGAAAACATCTGTCTCTGCCTTGCTGAACGAAGTCCATCAGCAGTGAAAAAAACCCACTCTCAAAGCTGCGTATACTCTTCATGATAAGCAAGTGTAAGGTAATCTGCTTTACCTAAAGGTGTTTTCAGGGTTTAACAATTTGTATTTTACCAACTTTGACTTGGAATTAATTCAGCAATAATGTAGAAAATTAAGTAATGTTCCACCCATTCAGAAATTATTTCAAGCTCTGTAAACAGTCCTTACAGAGATTCAGACAGTAAGCCTAGGTAGGACCATGTAATACAGTCTGATTACATGGGCCTGCAGGGATCTCATTGATGTCTATCCTTTAAAAAGGTCCAACTGATTTTTCAAGTAGCTGTCAGCTAAATAAAAAAAAAAAAAAAACAAAACAAAGCACAAAAATCACCAACAGAAACCAGCAGATACTGTTAGACTCTTTTTCTTTATCTCTGTATAAAAAAGGGGGGTGAAAAAATTGTAATTCTCCTGGGTTATTAAAAATCCACTAAACGTGACTAGTAGCCTCATCTCCTCGGATGGTAAGATTGACGGGGAGATAGACAACAGGTTAGCAAAGGCATATAGTGCTTTTGGAAAGCTTCATAAAAGAGTTTGGCATAATAAACACCTGAAGAAAAGTACCAAGATCAGTGTTTACAGAGCCATAGTGCTGTCTACTCTTTTATATGGATCTGAATCATGGGTCATCTACTGCCACTACCTGCGTCTCCTAGAATGCTTCCATCAACACTGTCTCCGTACAATCCTAAACATCCACTGGTCAGATTATGTGACTAACACGTCTGTTCTAGAACAAGCAGCAGTCACAAGTATCGAGGCCATGTTGCTGAGAACACAACTGCATTGGGCAGGACGCGTCTCAAGGATGAAGGACCACTGCCTCCCTAAGATCTTGCTTTATGGTGAACTTGCCACCGGCTGCCGCATGAGAGGAGCCCTGAAGAGAAGATACAAGGACTCCCTGAAACAACATCTCAGCCTTGGCCATATTGATCACCATAACTGGTCTACTCTGGCCTCAAATCAGGAGGTCTGGAGACACACCATCTATAACGCTGCTGATGCTTTTGAGAAAGCACACAGGATCACTCTCGAGGAGAAAAGACAATGCAGGAAGAATCGTACCTTGCAGAATATACCACCTATGGAGTCTTTCTGCTGTGCCTTTTGCAACCGGACGTGTCTATCTCATATTGGCCTTTTTAGCCACCAACACGCTTGTAACAAATGTGGGTAGAGCCCTTCCCAAATCTTTGTTCGCGAAACCCAGCCATGATGATGATGAAACATGACTCCAAATTAAAAATGTGAATCTTAGCTCAAAATTGCGAATGTATCTGTAGAAATACACTTGCATATTTATATAATTTATATTTACATGCTTATATAACAAATGTACTTGTACTGTTACATTAAGTCAATATTAAACAATTTGTTTTAGTGTTACTACTTTCAGAAACGTCAAGTACACGGAAGAAGATTATCCTTAATATTTGCTCAAATTCCTTAATTAATTTGCTTTAAATGAGAATGTATCCCTTCAGGCATCAGTTTTCCTCAGATATTACAAGAAATATCTTCTTTTTGATGGTATTTTCAGTGAGTTTTTAAAGTAAACATTAGTGGGTATTTCCTGACAGCAAATTTCAGAATTTGCAGGCAGAGGGACTCCCTGAGCAGAGACCTGTCCATTGCCAGCACCACTTATGACAAAAAGCAGAGAGGTCCGGAAAAATTTCTGTCCTACTGTAGAGCAAACAGTGACCAACCTTTTCAAACTGACACTTGGTAACTACTAGATGCGAACTGATTTCCTCAGTTTACATCTTAGAATAGAACAATTGTTCTTAATCAATATCTGTAATGACAGCAAGTACTGATTAGGTCCACCCCAGAAAATTTTTAGGAAATACTACTTGATCACAGATCCCACTAGAAACTGTGACTGTGAAAATAGTTTCTTCAGAGAAAAATATTTGTTCTGCACATAGCAAACTATAACACAACTTAAAGGTTTGAATTAATTGAGGAGTTTTATACCTTCAGCCCTGCTTTTTGCTTGGCTTCTCAGCTGCTTTCTTGAAGCACCGTGTGAAAGTTTGCATGAGTGTAGGAGGGAAATAAAATCTGCTGGAAGACTAGTCTGTCATAGCTAGATAAAACTAAAAACACGCTGGCAACATTATCAAGCATCACCCTTGTGAACAAAAGATACAGGAGAAGAACAAAAGCAATTCTTAACTGTGTAACCATGCTCCTTGTGGCTACCGACACCAGCGGAAAAGTACACATAGTAACCGTACTGAGGAGCACACACAGTGAGAGTCCTACAACTTGCAAGCACTGTCATTAGAAAAGGGGAGGAAAGAAGTCTCCCTAAGGTTTTCCTGAACAGTTCTCTGACAGTTATTCATTGATGGGGAGATTCAGTAAATAACAAATTTGCCCAGTAGGGACAATGGAGATTTGGAGAGAGGCTAAGCCTTTTGTTACACTAGAGATTTCATTTAGTATTTGCTCAGTTGGCAGACAGAAAACAATAAAAGTACAAATTTAATGCAGAGATCACACTTAATTACACTAATTAAAAAAAAAGCCCCCTACAAGCTTGGCTAGCAAGACTGTTATGAGGATACTCTATGTCAAGCTTTTCATCAACATAAAACTCTTCATAGCAGATATCAAATATAAGTACTCTAGGAAAAACATACTATAAATATAGCTTACCCAAG